GGAATTATATTTGACATCAGGGAAATATTTTGTATTTCAACAGGATAGACCGGATGTCACACGTCTAAAAAAGCCCTAACATGGATCGAAGACTTTGGTATCCCACTTTTGGAATGGGTTTCTAGTAGTTCTGATTTATCACCAATAGAAACACAGTGGCATGAGATGAAAAAGGTACTTTGAAAACATCCTGCAAGAACAATATCTGAACTTAGACAAAAACTTCAAGATAGGTATATGGGATTCTTTTGCATCAGAATTTTGCCAAGGCTTAGCTAATACCATGCCGTAAAGAATTTCAGATGTAATAAAAATAAAGGGACGTTACTGAATCGTAAACTTTAAAATTAATTATCGTTTAATTCCAACTATTTGTTTATTTTTTTTTAATTTTATATTAAACAAATATTTCAATGTTTTATACGTATTTTTTGTGATTAAATGATATTAAACATATTGTCCAACGAATAAAAATTAAAAAGTTCATGCAGTATTTATATTTTTAATCTTTAAATACGAATTTCCTAAATATTAATAGGTGGGCCAACTGAAATGGGAAGGGGCTCGTATATATCATAATTTGATTTCTATTTGGATATGTACGTAGGTACACCTATCTCAATATAAAATATAGATAGGTAATCATGGATTAAGGATAAACAAAATTGAACTTTACATAAAATGCGGGCGAATTTGAATTTCTTTTACATGACAGATATCACGTTGGCCGTACATTCTTCACCATTCATTCAAGCGCATGGCACATGGGTTGCCTGATAATCAATATTGCAGCGTTGTCAAATTGTTTTCTTAAAAAAGAGTTTCAAACTGAAAATCCATATTGATTACTTTAACACTCTAAATTAATTTATTTTGCATGACATATCTCAAATATGCAACCAGTTACAAAATAATTTTATAATAATCTTTATTCAGCATTTTTGTTTTTTGGTTACATCATAGTTGTAGATACATTTTAAATAATTTTAAATTAATAGAGAAACTGACATAGGTACCTTATTCATTAAAAGTATTTACTGCCCATTTATGACCAAGTGGTTGCGCATGGGCTGCCGAATTACTAACTTTTTTAAACAATTTTTTTTTTTTTTAATATGTAGGTTACATTATTAAAGTTTGACTAAGTTCATAAAATCTAACTAAATTATGTAACGAGTGATTATTTGCGACGAGCAGAGGTCCCGCAACATGAACGAATTTTACATGAAATGGCATTTCGTAACGTGTTACAAACAATATTTTTTCTAATTTTGACTAGATCATTTATAAAATTGTGTTTGATAACAAATTACTGATATCTAGGCAACCAATATATTACTTTATAATATTATTAGTTACATATACATAACTTCATTAATTTGTTTTATTGACAAATAGAAATTCATATTGATATTTTATTCTCAACGACTTGTAGTGTGTTTATATTGCTTGTTAAAGTTATTTAGTTTTCAAGAAAGTGGGTTATTTTGCCTTGTATTTATTGTGTTTTAATTATTTTGTGCTGATTTAGATTTGAAAATAAGAACCCAAACAACATTATTACTAGCCTATAAGTTTAACCAATTTCTATTATTCTTATAAGTCAACTTACCCTTCTTTGATGTAAACTTTCAATAATAATGTATATATTGATTTTAAAACAAAAAACGGTTTATATTTGTTTCTTTTCTCTTCGAAAATAGTGACAATGAATGTATTTCTAATTTTGACATATTAGTGAATTTTTTGTAATCGCAAGTGTATGCATGCATGATTTACTTTACGAAACCAGTTACATCATGTTGAAAATTATGGAACTGATTTCGAAACATTCATTATGTGACCAGTTTCGAAAATAAAACAAATAAAAATAAACCTTTTTTTGGATTTAAAATCAATAATGTATATTGTTATTGAAAGTTTATATCAAAGAAAGGCAGGACTCATAAAAATAGAATTTGGTTAAACTTAAAACCTAGTAGAGCACAAGTAATAGTTGGAAATGCTTTTGGTAGGTAGAGAGGGGGTAAACGTCAAACCACGTCGAATGGATTCGAGAATTTCGCAGTAATGTTTACCTGCCAGTGTCGTTTCATAGAATAAATAATGTTAAATTGTTACCGGCGGAACCGGACAATAGCATGTATTTATGGACTATATAATTATTAAACATGTATTATAATATTCAAATCATAATTTTACAAAATTTCAACAGCTATTCACAATTTATTAAACTATTTACTCGAAATATTGTTATTAAAATCTATAAAATAATTTTGTACGCCAACGTATCGCGTCCACTTCGGTTAGATCCGCCGCAAACCTGTCAATTTAAGTGTATTAAGTGGGAGAACTGGCAAAAGCCTTTCCAACTTCTACTTGTGCTATAATAATGTTGTTTTGAGGACCAAAACAACATAATTATAATAAGGACTATTTTCCGTTCTAAATCATCACAAAATAATAAAAACACAATACACGACCTACTTTCTTAAAATCTAAATAACTTTAACAAGCAATATAAACAAACTACAATAAATCGTTGAAAATAAATGAATATTATTTTCTATTTGTCAATAAAAGAATGAAATCATACGCAACAATAGAAGAAATTAATAATATTGGTTGCCTAGATATCAGTAATTTTTTACAAACAATCTAGTCAAAATTAGAAAAAATATTGTATGTAACACGTTAACGAAATGCCGTTTTATGTAACTCGCTCTGCTCGTCCCGCAAATATTTACTCGTTACATAAAATAAGACATTTCGTAACTGATTTCACTAATACCTATTTCGTAACCAATTTCATGTTCAACATTAGGCAACTGGTTGAGTAAAGTACAAGTACAAAAAATGTCACTTTATATGTCAAAATTATAAAACGACTTTTTTGGCATCATGACGTCATGTGTTATGTTTTTTTTATATATATAGTGATGACGTGTAAGATGTGTCCCTCTCTTAACTTCTAAATTTAAGAAGATAGAGGCATGAAACAAAATGAGGTGAAATTAGAGAGATATGACATTTTTGTTATAACGAGGTGCACTTTACTTGAGACGTAAGATAGAGGGCGTTACTATCTTTAAATTTTCTAATGGAACGTAGGGTCATGCGATACCTCATTTGAAAGATACTTTTATTATATTTACGTTTATGCGAACAGTTTTAGTGTTTTTTATGTTTTTACAGAAATTACATTAAATTAATTAATTTTAAGCTAATTAACCAGAACTCAACACACGTGCCGAAAATGAGAATAGTGAACTATTGGATATTTGCAGTATTCACGGTGAGAGTAGGCCTAATAGTTTATTGTCGTCACAATTAATACTCTCAACTATCTAGTCAGACGAAATAGTGTGAGAGCGCTGTAGCGACAGTAACATAGCGACTTACAAGTTGTCTATACGGTGACGGTTGTGATTGTTACTGTCAGGACAGCGAATTTCATAAAAATTATAACTGTGAAAACGAGGATTAATTATTAATGTAGCGCGAATGAGTAGATCTCTCAAATGGTAGAATAAACTATATAAGGGCTGTAGTGCCGCTACGCTTGAGCTTGATTGGTTCCTATAAGCTCTAGGTACATGAATTCGGAGATGAGCTGCAGTTTTCCTTGTTTTCCTGTTATAGGTAACCTGCAGAGAATCTGCATAGCTCATCTAAAACATACAATACAAAATGTATTTCAGTTTTATTATGATTTTATTCTCTGTTAACTTATTAAATCATCAATCGTTGTCATTTTGTTGGCCTCTAACCGTACGTTTGACCGTCATGGTTTTTCGCTCTGTTGAATCAAACCTAATAACTGAGTAATAATCTAGGCACCTAACATATCCACCTCTACTTACATCAACTACGACCACGGAAATGAAATGACCACGATCAGACAACGACAACGGGTACCACGACCAGACCACGATTAGACAACGACAACGGGTACCATAACCAGACCACGACCCAGAGATTAGACATGACACACGACTTTCACCGAATGCGAACGACAAAATTTCTCAACAACTAGCGGTAGAAAGGTATAGCATTCCATATGATCGATAAAATAGTGATCATATGTGCATGTAGTCGGCAATTTTTAAATGAATCATTACGTGACTCATGGATCCCAATTTATAAGCAACCAAGAGGTTTTTTCGTTCGTTCCCACTACACCAATGCACACCATACCTTTCGTTTGGCCCGGTGTAAAATCCACTACACCTTTTTGTCTACGATGTGGTATCCACTGGTGGATGTTCTCTCCACCAGCTATTTAGCAGGAGTGAATTACAGTCGACCTGTGTGTCAGGAATAAGGAGGAAGTAAACTAGGTAAATAAAGGTGGTGTAACTGGTGTAATTTACACTAGTGGACACTGCACCAACAGCGAAAGAAAGAACCTGATGTAACATATCATTCTTAGTGATCCTTATCAAAAATCGATGTCTTATTACTGGATGGTTACTGGAACTTAACTTTTGACGTGTAGCTTTAATTTAGGCTTTGCCAAAGGATTTTAACTTTTAGGGTAGGTTGTTCCAACAAATATGCTCAATCTATATCTAGGTATTCGGATAATATAGGTATACCTACCTCTCGAAGAGAGAGAAGGCTGCTTTATCAAACAAATTATGACCTGGCTGTGAATAATTTTAGGTGATTTTGAATAAGTTTATCTAGGTCTGAAGGGGGATTTTAACAGTGTTCCATAAAGTTGGATTCATATTGGAATTTTTTACCATTACAATTGGAAAAAAACACATAGGACATTCAACTCTGCTGTTTTAAAAGCTTAAAATAGTCCATATTAAATTTGGCTAGGTACAGTTATTGTTTAAGAAATAGGAATACTACCCCTATGAAATAGCATAGGAACTTTCAAATATGAGACATCTCCAATAATAAAAAGGTCCTTGTACACAAATATACATGTATTTATGATATTTTGCGATATTTATTAAACGCCTCAGGTAATATTTTTCTGGTTTAGATCTTTAATCTAAATTCTAGTGGATACTCAAAGATTTTGGTTACTCTGGCAACGTTCCAATTGCGTTTGTCACGTGATGCATTGATTCTATTTTTATGTCAAGTTTGTCCTTCAACTGGACACTTTTTTGGTGATTTTCTTTGGGAATTCTCGTCGCTGTGGGTTGAAAATGTAAGTACAATCTTCCAAATTCTCAATTTTTATTTAGAATATAATTTGTTTACTATTTCTTTGAAGTGCTTAGTTCGGTAATATTTTCACATTCCAGTCTATTAGACATAAGGTAGAGGGTAGAATACATATTTTTAATATTTTACATAGGTAGGTTTGTCTTGATTAGTTTATGTAATCAACATTATTTTGACCTTTATTTAACATTTCAGATGTTTATTAGATAAGGAAGAAATTGAAAATAAATCTAAAATCCTTTATAGAAATACACGTAATGGCAACTTTAAAAAAATCTGCCGGCTATGACCTCTGACGACCTTGACTAGCACACCCTTTTTATTAAATTTCAATTTAAATTATACCTGTAAATTGTTCTTCCGTTAGTACTAAACGTATTTTTTTAAAACTTGATTAGAAAAAGACCTTCCCTAAAATGTAGGTATATGTATGTTTAGGAGTTTTGTTTCAGATGAGTACCTAGGTACCTATAGGTACTTTGTTTAGGTAGGTACCTATAGCAAAAACCAATTATTATTTAAATTCTCAAGACAGTTTGTTTTGATCGAAGTAAATCTTATTTTGTTAATTGAAAGTGAAAAATCCGTCGAAAACTGGAGGTCGAATAAATCATGTTTCCTATGCTTTCCTTATCTGTATACAGATAGGAAAGTAAAAATTGGAACTTTAAATATAATTTCTACTACCTACTTCTTTCTATAGTGATGGACATGATGATTATTCAAGTGATTTCAATAATCTGATTATCATTCGAATGATCTATCACTTGGATAACATTTTTTGTCTATTGAAAAAAAAAAAAATAATAGGTTGGGGGCCGAAAAAATCCATTGGGTAAGAGCATTTTAATAAAATAGAAAACAGTGCACTTGTAAAAACAAGTCTGGTAATAGCTACACCTACCTACCTAAATCAACATTTAAAATGTATTCACCCAACATTTTCAATAGTTGTGTTTGAAACACTCGAATCACTTTAAAGGAGAATCAAATTCATTCAAATTTTTTTTATTTTTATACTTCTCATTCCTTTTCACTCGATACTTGTTGGTGTATGTATTTGAATTGTCATTCAAATCAGTCTCACTCGGTATTGTATTTGAATGATCTGATCATTCAAAATTCCATTTCACTCGGTAGTGTATTTGAATGATATGATCTTTCGAATGATCCAGTTTAAGTTCTCGAGATATCTCGAAACATTTTAATAATCGAATGACTGATTATTTTTCATTCGAATTATGCTATCACTACTTCTTTCTCTTCTTTGCCATGTTCATTTCAATTCTCCCGTTACAATATAAAGCACCTAATAGGATGGCTCTCTACCTCTCTGAACATGTCCCAACCACAACCTACATGTCTTATGGACATGTGGACAGTATTTTTCCTATCCCCCAAACAAATATAAGAAATCTTAATTCATGGGCTTGTTTTTATTTGCACAAATTACTTTATCTCATAAAATTTGGCTTCAACTGAATATCACGTTCTGCATTAAATTAAATTTATTTGATACAAATACATTTCATACAATTAAAAATTAAATTAACATAATAATCAAATTATAATTAAAGTTAAAGCACCTAGGTGCAGTATGTGCTAAAGTAAAGTAATAGCATAGTAATATACAAATTTATCCTTATAGTATACATACATATAGTTTTAAAATATCAGTAATAAGTGCTTTGCAGTATGTCTCAGTTCAGGCTTTCTATAAATAAAAGTACAACAACAACATTGAAACAGGATTTTGTTTGTATAGCTATATACCTAGACACAGAACCCAATTTATACAAGTTGTTGCAAATAAAGAACAATTTTTGCTTTTTTAAATATAACTTTAATATAAAAGATATCAGGTAGGAATGACGATGAAAAACTACTAGACTAATCCATATATAATATTCCCCAGTACGTCTACCTTTGGATCTTGTAACTCCTGTACATGCCAGACTTTCTAAGCGGCTTCATAAAACCAAGTCTGACACATTTTTTCATATACTTCACCCTAGGCAATGGGAAATTTACGTAACAACTCTTTGTGAAGTTATCATTCTGGCGTTCCTAAGGAAGTTAATACGTATACGTGTAGTTTTAATGTCAGTCAACAGTTTTTTGTATTACATTAACAAGATCACATTTGTCAAATAAAAATCACATTGCTTTGGGGGTCTGACAACCTCAATATGTTGCTGTGGCGTCTCTAAGGAAGTTGATATATATACGTGTAGTTTTAATGTTAATCGATGTTTTTTTTTATATTACATTAACGATATCACATTTGTCAGACATAAATCACGTGGCTTTGGGGGATCTGAAGCCCCCAACATGTCGCTGTGGCGTCCCTAAGGAAGTTGATACATGTATGTCCCACAAAAATAATTATAAATAACACTGTAATTTTAAAACATATAGTAAATGTCAGGCAAAAAAATGAAGTATTGTCAGTTAGACAACGAAGTCCAAAAAATAGTGTAACTACTTAGCATACTTTATATTATATAGTAATGTTTTGATTATTATAATTTCTATTATTATTATTTTTTACTATATTTTACTAGATTCGTATAACAAAATTTTATATTCGAACATAGAGAAACATTTTTATTTTGGAACTTAAAGTTTCAGGATTACTAGTTTTAGTCAACTATGTCTAATAATGAAATACTCAATGCATATTATCAAGCTAATTATAAATAGAATTTTCCACAAATATACAACAAGAATCAGAATAAATTTGTCGCAGCAGTTGGTTTGTTAACTTAAAAATGCCTTTTATTCAAATTTGGACAAAGCACTTGAAAAAGTGCTTGCAATTACCAATTACTGAAGCAGGTAATTGCACAATGCAATTACTAAGTACCACTTACTCAAAAAATGCTTGAAATCATTGTTGACTACTTGCAGGTACTTGCAAGCACATTTTTCTCAAATAAATTACCAAGCACTTATTACTTTTCCAATTGTTCCCTCCCCAATTAAGCAACATGTTTATTTTAAAAATGAACAATAAATTCTAATTTTTGGACGATAGTAATAATAATCAAACCAAAGTGTTCTGTTCTTAATTTATTAGTCTACACTACAAGACACAAAATATAATAAAAGTTAAAAAATCAATAGAAAAAAAAGCAAAAATTAGCTGCAAAAAGGGTGAATGTACTAGAAAGGCAGTAGGTACTAACAGTTAAACATTTTAAGAATCTAGAGCTGTAATTTTTTAAATTTATATTAATTAATAAGTTGCAGAGTTGCGTGTTGCCATTTACATCGAGCTATGAGCCCACTATTTAGTAAATTAGTAATTATGATCAATTGAATAAAATAGTCAAAACGGATTCAGGGTACCTCAAAACGTAAAAATCCGTCGAAAACTCGAGGTCGAAAAAAATCATGATTCCTATACTTTACATATATCTGTAATATAAAAACTATATTTTTTGAAGTAGCCAGCACAATATATTTATTAAACATTCGTTTTCAAAATTTTAACAAATAAGTACTTATGAACATAAAACACTACTTTTAAATGCTTGCAAGCTCTTATGGATAGATGTTTTCAATTACCAATTACCTAGGACTGTATTTTAAAAGTAGTTGCAAGGCACTGTGTTCGAAGCACTAATGTGCTTGTAACACTTTTTAAGGCACGTTCGAGACAATTACTGCCTAGCTCTGCTTTAATTTTAATTTTGTTAATTTTCGTCAAATTCGCTCCAATATAAAAATTACTTCTAAAAATATTTTTGGTCTCACTGTTGCTAAATGATCTCGCTTTACATTACAGCATGCCAGACAGGAAAAAATATGTACTGTTTAGGTAAATCTTATCAATCATTGTTTACTCATTTGAATCAAATGTTTTTAGTCTTTTAAATAACCTAGTACAATTTTATCTATAGTCAAAGTCAAACATTATTTTCAGTGGTTATATAACCTTCAAAGTATTATGCTTTTTCTGTTGTGTAATATAAATATTATACTAAAGTACACTAATTCTAATAAAGGTATTTAGTTTACCATAATTTATTATATTTAATAAAAAGGTCAATTATGTAGTAGGCGGCTAAATTATGGAACCAACTAACTTTTTCGAAAACTTCAATTTTTAAAGAAATGGCTAAATTACGGAAATCCTGGAACAGGTCGATTTTTGTTTTTAATTGCCTATGTGTCTCAATCTACATTTAAAATCGGTTACGTCACCAGTATTGGCGTGATGAATCGATTGTTAAATTTTTTAAACGGAAGTAGCTGTTATGTGATACCTTATTTGAAAGGTATTTTGATCCTCTATTTAAGCGATATAAATGTTTATAGAATGTATTTGCTGCATACAGGTTGAAAAAAACTTTAGTTATTTAACTGCAACCAAACTAAAAGAAGTTTCTTGTAAACTTAATTTTAAAAATAATTGAGTCTATTTTAATCCAAAGCAAATGTTTAAAATGAAGTCTTTTGACAATCGACGGACACCCGACTCATGCACATTGTGAATGACTTGTGGATTAATTTGACTCATTTTGTATAAAAATTTAGGTTTCAGTTTTTGTAGATTTTGTGGTCTATTTACATTCTGTATAACCCCACAGGAAAAAATTAAGGGGTGTAAGATCTGGGGACTTTGCAGGCCACTTAATGGATCTTCACCTTTGAATCCACCTTTCAGCAGTTATTTGAATACATCACTTGCATAGTGCATAGGTGCTCCGTCTTGCTGAAACCAGATATCATTTGGAAAATTTGGATTATAGGCATTTGGAAATAAATTTGCAAGTACAGACATAAGTTCATATTTTAGAAATTGTAGATAACGTTCACCATTGAGATTTCCATTGAAAAAGAGAGGGCCGGTGATTCTGTCTTTGAGATTATTCCTGCTCACAGGTTAAATTTTTAAGGAAATTAGGTATGCCTCTCAGTCATCCAGTGAGGATTCTCTTTTACTCAAATATCTGCAATTTTGACAAATAACTAATATTTATACAAAACCTGGCTCATCGGAAAGAAGAATTTTCTGAATGAAACGTGGATTGTGATTACATAAATCTTACATAATTTTAGATTTTTTTATGGATGGTACTTTTCTGTTTTCAGAACAACGTAATACCGATCGCTGAGAAATTCCATTGTCTAGTTCGTCTACTGCAATTTGTTGCAAAATACTATGAGGGTTGTCGCTAACTCCTAACAAAATATCAAGTTTCAGATTTTCATTAATTTCACAACGCCCTCCCTGAATTTGGAATATGTTTAGTTCTCATTTTTTCGAAATTTTCTGTCGATTTTACTGACTGTTGATAGGCTGATAGGTCTTTCTGGATAGTTTGCATTAAATAAATTACATACATAATGTCGAGTTCTACTTTTATCTCCTCGTCCAAGAAGAATTCAAATTTCTCTATGTTGGGTTTCATTTAAATGAGCTATAATGTACATGTACTTTTTTTAAAGAGTGACTTACTGGTATTACTTCGCACTGTTTATAAAACTGACAATTTGACTGACATGTTGTTGATAATTTACAACTTGATTTGTAAAAACTTGTTTTTTTGTGAAAAGTAATTTTTTGTTTTTTGTGTCCCATTATTTTAATCTAAGATCCGAAGTAAGGTCGACCTTCACCCATATGTTTAATGGATGAAAGTTTCTTTTTATTAAATAAAATGTGTTTATAAATATACCGCAAATGGGTTGCCTAAGAAAATACGGTCCAGACTATTTATTTTCTTAAAGTAAAAAAAAAACGACACCCTGTAAAGTATTCTCCAGATGCTTTGACTATACCTAAACTTTAATCAGCTCACCTTAGGATGGATTGAAGCTTAAGTTTAAAATTTGGTGTCTTTCTCTCTATCCGTTTTTGAGTTATCCTCAAAATTCGGTATTTGCACTTTTCCTCAAATATCTCGAATTAGGTCCATTGTAGGGAAATCATGTATAGGAACAAAATAATAGAGAATGACATCATAAGCAACTTTTATCATGATTCCTATACTTTCCTTATCTGTACACAGAAAGGAAAGTAAAAAATGGCCGTGACCGTATTTTCCTAGGCAACCTATTTGCGGTATATTTAAATACATATTTTATTTAATAAAAAAAAACTTTTATCCATTAAACAGATGGGTGAAGGTCGACACTACTTACGGATCCCGGCCTATTTGGTTTGTTTCTCTTGGCTTTTTATGAGTGTCATCATTTGAACGTTTTTAAATTACTTTAAATAAAAGGCGACTTAATTAATGTTTTTAAAATTACTTATAGAAAACTTTTTTTAATAAAAGTGCATTCTCAATTTGAACATTTTATTGTAGTTTGGTTATTGTTAAATAAGAATTAAATTTTTCTTCGCCCTCTATGCATATAAATTAAATAAAAAATTATACTGCTGAATATAAGATCAAAATACTTTTCAAATGAGATCATCACAAGACAGCTATTTCCTTTTAAAAAAAATCAACGATTACGTTTCAAATGTAAGATTTTTTTTAAAATAATGGTTTTCGAAAAATTGAGGAGGTTTCATAATTTAGATACTGTATTTAAGAATATTAATCAAGTACATTTTTGTGAAATTATTAAAAAACAGCAAATAAAATTAATTTTTAGCAACGTTTGTTTATACATTGTCACTAATATCTGATAATATAAAACAAATTCTTTATGTAGCATATTTTCCTGCTGGTGTCTGCTTAAACGAGATAACTAAATTCAGGTCAATCTTTGAATATGATTAATCATAATCTTATTTTTAAAGTCCTAATTTGATTAGGACAGTACTTTGTACTTACTGTTGTTTGTCATATTCTGACAATACAAAGAGCCAGCGACTGTAAGCATAAAATTTACCAGTTACAGTAGAAATATGTAATAATGTATTCCAAATAACATTATAAAGAAAATGGTGTTATTTTGTTATGGTCTTTTATTTAAAAATGTAAAATAACGGTAATTTAAGAAGTAATTATATTGATATATTATTTAGTCATTGGTTGGAACAGTAACCCCGTCGTTTTTAATTTTAAGACTGACATTGTTTTTACTAAAGCTACCATTTCGCAAGTCGAGACAGAGACCGTCTTCAAAACGCGCCGCGAAAACGGTCGCTTCACGTCTGAACCCATGTAATTATAAGAAACACATTTCGGTAGAGGCGACAGACAACATCAGATTTAGTATTGCAATATTTGCCGCTTCAATGGTGTCTCGGTCTCCTGTCGCGGGTCGCGCGTTCCCAAATGGTACCTTAAAGGTACCATTTCGGTAGGCGCGACAGACGACCGCCGACGCGACCGAGAAGTGTCTCTTCACGTCTAAAATACATACAATTATATGAAACACATTTCGCACGGCGCGACACGAGAAGTGTCGTCAAGACGACTGAATCTGTCTCGGGGCAAAGCGTTTGCTGCGTGTCGCACTCGAGGTCACTGTCCTCAGACATCGCTTCTTTTTGGAGGTGATTAGGTTGGAAATTTCTATCGGTGTAGGTAGTGTTGCCAGATTTTGGAACAGTATGGGTGAAAAAAAAAATCGTAGATCTGAACAGTAGATTTTAATACAGGGGGAAATAATTAAAATTTGCAGTGTAGTAAATAAAAAAACAAGTATATAAGAAACGAAAAATAAACTTTTTTTCTACCCAAATTAGAAGGTAAACAAAGAATAAAAACAAAATCGTACTGTTTGGCATATGCATGTTCTTTTTATGATGCCCTATTAATTCTTTGTTTCATTTTAAATAACAATGATTATCTTGATGTTTTTTTTTATGGGGCCAACCTACAGTAGTGGATGCCCTATTACGCTGCTTTTACTGCAGAAAATTTACTAGAGAAAATATTCTTTAACCATTTGCTGAAGAATGAGGCAAACTTAATAAATTAAGAACAACATTTGCTAGAGACAAAAACAGTAGGTCTGGCAACGCCGATCGTTCCCTCGAATGGTTATCCTGTAAGTGTCTCGCGACCCGTCTCCAAGCTTCCGAAATGTACGGAGCGTAACATTTATGCATCTGTCGTCGTTGGGGTCGTCTCGGTGGTCTCCTGTCTCCTGACGCGCCTACCGAAATGGTACCTTAATAGTCGATTTGATTTGTTGCATTAGGTGTAAGTTTTCTGCACTAATCGCATTTGATTTGTTCAGTGTAGCTTCAAATATTTGACAGTAGTACACGTGTAGCATATACTTTTGACAAGTATGACAGTTCGAATACAGTGTCGAGTGTCACACTAGTGCAACAAATTAAATCCACTATAAAATGTCTTCACTTAATTCATCTTTCTATTAGTTTGAATGTCTACTATTAGTAGAACCCTTGGAATACATTCAATTTTATTTTTGTGTAGTGGTGAGAAACCCTTAATAAATAAGCTTCGAAAAGTTATCTAGATCCATATATTTGGTTTATTAATCCCTTTAAGAACAGTGATGGTAGTAAATGATAGCAAAGATAACTAATAATAATAAACGTCTTTATTGCACAAAAGTAAAGTACATAGAGCGAGATTTAGCTTGGCTAATATTGTTTGTTTTTTTTTTCTTTACATAATTTTTTAATCTTGTGTTCTAGAAAATAATCCAAAATGGTGAAAATGGGAATAAACGGTTTCGGCCGTATTGGTCGTTTGGTTCTCCGAGCCGCTCTGTCAAAAGGTGTCGAAGTAGTCTCAGTGAATGACCCTTTCCTGGATGTTGATTACATGGTCTACCTCTTCAAGTTTGACTCTACCCACGGTCGTTACAAAGGTTGTGTCAGCAGTGATGGAAAGAACCTGGTTATCAATGGAAACAAAATTAAGGTTCACAACGAACGGGACCCCACTGTGAGTTTATAATATGTAACGTTCATACATACGTTAGAGAATTTGATCAATTATGAATACCAAAAGTTATGTCTTGTCAGTAGAAATAAAATGTATTCTTTTTAGAAAATTCCATGGGGTGAAGATGGTGCAACCTATGTAGTAGAATCAACTGGAGTATTCACCACCATTGACAAGGCTAAACTCCATTTATCTGGTGGTGCCAAAAAAGTTATCATCTCTGCTCCATCTGCTGATGCACCAATGTATGTCTGTGGTGTCAACCTAGATGCCTACAATCCTGCAGACCCAGTAAGTTTGAATCTTGCCTCGTAACATGCAGTAGTACAATTCGTCGTTAGCAAGACGAACAGGCGTATCTCAAAATTAGAAGATTTAAGTAATTACAGTTTAAAGATTTTTATTAACTTTAATCTGGATTTTTTTAACTTTAAAAGTTGCTTAAAAAATGCTAATAACATAAAATGTTGTGGCAATGCCATTATATAATGTATATAAATATATAAATTCTGAAAACGCCTTTTGATGGACCTAACTCAAATCCTGGATTTTTTGAGATACGCCCCTTCATAATGTTAGTGACGAATTTACACATTAAATATACATAACTTATAAATTTTTTCAAAGGTTATTTCCAATGCTTCCTGCACCACCAATTGTTTGGCTCCTCTCGCCAAGGTCGTCCATGACAATTTCGAAATTGTTGAAGCTCTTATGACCACTGTACATGCTACGACAGCTACCCAAAAAACTGTAGATGGTCCCTCCGGAAAGTTGTGGCGTGATGGTCGTGGTGCTGGACAAAACATCATTCCAGCTGCAACTGGAGCTGCTAAGGCTGTAGGAAAAGTTATCCCAAGCCTTAACGGTAAGCTTTATTGATAAAAACTTTTTAAAAATGATACTAGAATAGAAATAATAATTATTGAACATGGTAACTTTTGAAATAAAACAAATTATATTAATCACTTTCTTTTATGGAAGTAATCTTATTCATGGGAACTTAAACCAAATTTCAGGAAAACTCACTGGTATGGCTTTCCGTGTACCAGTAGCCAACGTTTCTGTCGTCGACCTGACTGTCCGTTTGGCTAAACCCGCATCTTATGACCAAATTAAGGCTAAGATCAAGGAAGCATCTGAAGGCGCCCTTAAAGGTATTTTGGGATACACCGAGGAAGAAGTTGTGTCTTCCGATTTCATCTCTGATGATCACTCCTCCGTCTTTGATGCTGCCGCTGGTATCCAGCTGAATGACAAGTTCGTCAAACTCATCGCCTGGTACGACAATGAGTTTGGTTATTCCAACAGAGTCGTCGACCTCATCATGTACATTTCCACCAAAGATTCTTAAATTTCTACTCATTAGTCGATGTATTGTCGTTAAAATATTCAGGTCTTTGAAATTATCCTCAAATATAAATTCATAATGTCTTTAATGATTTTATAAATTATATTTGGGAGTAGATTTCCTCTAACTTACAAAAACAAGGAGAACAATAAAATATAATTTTATTACTGAATTATAAAGAGGGCTAAATAGTAGTCTGTTGTCAAAAATGTTGAATGTATCTTTATTTCTTGTGCAAAATTTTTATTTATCTTTAGGAATATACATGTTTAAAAAAAATGGTTTCGTTTGTCATCTATATTTTCCTACTTTCCACAGTCCTTTCCTTTTTAAACAGGTCTCCCTAACAAACAATTGGTGTCACTTAGGTAAAAAACATGTGTAATAGAACTACATTGTCACAATTTCGATTTTAGATTTTGTTACTGCTATCTGTTTCTAAGTCTTATCATTACGAACATTTGGGAATGAGAATTTGTCAATTATGAAAAGTATGTAAATTTAAATAATTGATAAAAAGTAAAGTTTGTAAACCATGATTGTTTTTTTGAAAACCAACAAACAAAAGTCATAAACTTTTTGAAATTTCAGGTTATATACTCTTAACACTGGTTTATTCAGTCAATAGTTTATATGTAAAAGTTGTTTATGTACCAAGTCAGCAAAGTTTTTCTTTATCGAACTAGTCGATTATGAGTTCGATAGACACTTTGCTAACATGATCCATACAAGCTTTTATCGCCAACCGTAAATAATTATAATTAATAAGAAAGGAAATATTATAACATCACATTTTAGTATGACAAAGTAAGCAAACAAAAATAACGGAATACAAAACGAATCAGTTACAGACTGGCTATTTCTGTCAGAACGGTCACGGCTATGTTGATAAATATTAGCGGCAGATAAAATATTTGATTTGTAGAGAGAGAGAATATGCGTTTATTGTCTTAAGATAAAATCGTGTTGAAAAACATATACCGGGTGTTCAAATTAAAGCCGAAAATATGCATTTTAGAAAAAGTTTCAGACAAAAGTTTTATAGTTTTTTTGGGGAAACATTTTGGCTAAATTCATTTTTTTATAGCTGACCATAATATGGCAATATCGAGGTGAACTTTGTTTTTTTAAATGGGAATCCCATTTTTTTTCTTACATATTCTTAAAGTACATAAAAAAATAAGAAACTTTTGAGGAAAATATTTTTTTTATTGGACTTTTACTTTTTGAGTAACAGCTACTTGAAAATGTTGCTGCGCGAAAAAAAAGTTGGCCATATTATGGTTAGCTATAAAAAACGATTTTAGCCAAAAGTTTTTCCCTATAAAACTTTCGTCTGAAACGTTTTTTTTTTTATAAAAAGCGGTATATAGCTGTAACGCTTTAATTTAGAACACCCGGTATAATACAATAGAAGTTAACTCTTAATCTATATATATAAAATTGTTTGTCCTGACTGACCTATCAGCGTACAGCCAAAACTACTAAGCCTAGAAAGCTGAAATTTGGAACATATGTTTATTTTATAACGTAAGCATCCGATAAGAAAGGATTTTTGGAAATTTTAACTTTAAAGGGGGGGAGGGAGCTTTTAATGAAACTTTGTTCTTTAAAGTTAGAAACATGAAAATTTAAATTACAGCTACTGAGCATAAATAAATAATGACGTGTTTCAGGGTTTTTGGATTTTTAACATTTTAAGGGGGGAAAACGGGGGGGGGGGGGTGAAAGTTTGTAAGGGACTAACGATTTTTTTATTCTCTATGAAGTTAGAAACATGAAAATTGGAATTCCAGCTACTGACTACAAATTATCAATGACGTGTTTCAGGGTTTTTGGATTTTCACATTTTAAAGGGGGAAATGGGGGGTGAAAATTTATTTGGGAGTATCCATGTTTTTGGTTCTCTTGAAAGCTAAAAACATGAAAATTGGAATTGCAGCTACTGAGTACAAATTAATAATAATGTGTTTTAGGGTTTTTATATCTTTACATCTTAAGGGGGGCAAACGGGGGTAAAAGTTTGGATGGGAGTATAACTTTTTTTGTTCTCTTTGAAGTTAGAAACATGAAAATTGGAATTGCAGCTAATGAGTACAAATTAATAATGACGTGTTTTAGGGTTTTTGGATTTTCACATTTTAAGGGGGGGAAACGGAGAGGTGAAAGTTTATTTGGAAATATCGATTTTTTAAAGGTAGGAACTTGAAAATTGGAATTGTAGGTTCCTATCATAAATAAATAATAAAGTGTTTCATGGCTTTTGGATTTTCACATTTTAAGGGGGGAAAACAGGGGTGAAAATTAATAACAATTAATAAAAATTAATAAAAAATAATAAAAATTTAATAACAATTAATTAAAATTAATAAAAAAATAAGTCATGTATTTTTTTATATTAATAACACGACTATATGCGATCAAAGTCGCGAGCAAAGCCGCGGGCAATAGCTAGTGTACATATAAGATACAAACATTGCATAATACATTTTTGAAGTAAAAATACACTATTGGAGAGCTCTTTGTTGCAGGAACCCGAAAACTGAATTCCATATCTTAGATAAAGTGTTTGTTTACTTTCAAAAATCGTTATTTTAATACATGGCTTTACTGACGGTTGGCAATAAAATATATTACATGGAATTATTGGTTACATGATATTAATGAAAAAAAAAACAATGATTTTTTTAAATAAAATTTGAAAGTTGTTAATGAGGTGGCACAAAAAAAAGTTAAAATTTTAGCACATCGGAACTAGTGGAATCATCGAGTTAGAGCTACTAGTGTGGGAGATAAAAGTTATAAAACATTTATTACTAATAAAAGGAAAATTGGCAAATATATAAATATAATAGGAATAAAACAGTGAATGTAATTAAACATGCAAAAAGAAAATACTTGGAAACAAAAATAATTTAACCAAGGGTAACCCTACTGAGATGTGGAAAACTTTTGAATTCGACAATCTTTGTGACAATCGTCAGAATCTAACTTTCATTACTAAGTAACTTTTGTAAATTTTAAAATTCATGAATAAAAAGAAATATTATTTTCAATGTCAAACAAAAACATTCCGGACGAAACAACTATAATTTTATTAAAATAATGTTTTAAGAATTTATCCCAACCTCAATTACATAATATAAATGTTTCTGTTGAAACAAGTTTAGTTCCTGGCGATATTAGGATTGCTACAATAATTCCGATGCTAAAAGTTTCGAATCCAAGTAAAGCTAACCATTTAAGACTGATATATCAGTGCTAATAGAAAAAAGTAATATAACTTGAAATGTTTGTTCATTTTATTTAAAAGGCAACAGAAGTTACGTTCAATCAGGATTTTGTAGTAAACACAACAATGAAACGGCTTTAAATTTGGTGTTACATGATTGTGAGTTATCAATTGAAAATAATTTTATTCGTTGGCGGTGTTTTTGTTTGAGACTTTATAGGAGTAGATTATTATTAATGAAATTAAGAACTGCTATTGGTTTGGGGGGTTGTAAACTGAACTGATTGGGACATTATTTGGAAAATAGGTAACAAGGTTGAGGAAATTATTGTTTCAAATGCTATAGGGAAGTGTTCTGGATCCGCTACTGTTTTTAATTTATATTAATTGCATTGCTAGGTAGTCGAAAGAGGCTCAATACACATATTCGCGGATGATAGAAACTTGTTTTAAAGAAATTAATATTTCTATAAGTAATATAAATGATTATTGTAGCAGAAACTCGTTAAAAATAAATTACGTAAAAGTTGAAATGGATGTTAATTGGGGGTACAGGAAATTTAAAAAAAATTAAATGTACTGCAGTGTGTTTCTGTTGATAGAGAAAAGCTTCAGAGTCGAAAAATTGAAATATCTAGGGGTTATAAAAAGTGTATCTTATAGTGGTAGGTACCCGATGTTTTTAACACGCTTATATTAGATTCACCTATATGTATATATGTTTGTAACTCTCCTTTGGACTCAAGTGGCTTATTACTGCCAGTATATCCCACTAAGTCAAGTTCGTTCGTGGCCGAGCGGTCTAATGCGCGGGTTTTTGATTGCCAGACTCACCGATCGTGGGTTCTAATCCACACGGCTGAAAAAATAATATTTTTTTTTTAGTAATTAATCGGAACTAAAAAGTGAAAAATAAATATATTTTAAAAAACTAAAAAACACGCTTTTAGAGCATATCAAACTAAAAAGTTAAAAATAATTTTTCAAATAGCTTAAAACAATAATAAATGGAAAATACTAGTATTATTGTGAAAAAAGCGTGGGGCGCTTTGTCCATATTTCTCGTACATCGAGCGCCCGACGCTTTTTTCACAATAATACTAGTATTTTCTAGAGATGTGTTGAGATTTCGCTGTCAGCGATTTTGTCGCCGCTACTTTCCTGTCGCTGGAGCGAACCGCTCCGGTTCTTTCAAAATCACTGCGACTTTTTGGAGCTGTTTTTGATTTAGGCACGTTTTCATTAAATATCGCATCGCATATTTATCTGATGTGAACTGGAACTGTGATCAGAACGAAAACTATTATATGCTTCTAATCGCAGTCGCTGAAATTTGTATAAAACAAATAGGACATCTACAATAGGGTGGCGCAAAAAAAACGATTATTTTTTTTAGGTCTCGTGCGAAAATATGGTAATTTATTATGTTTTAAGACCCCCTCCAAAAGGCAGCTCAAAAAAAATTTTCAGGGGTCGACGCTCAAGATTTTTAAAAATTTTAAAATTAGTCAAAATTGAATTGTTTTTTCAAATTTTTTTACTCATGACGGTAGAATTTTGTGCCCTAAAAAAAAAAATCTTAAATTTTTAGCTCAATATATTAAACTGAAATTAATTCTAAATATTAATATTAAAGGTCGCTCGAAAACATCAAAATCAATAATTTTGTATATAAAAAAAAAACTTGGGCGACCTCTAAAAAATGTTTTTTGAGCTGCCCTTTGAAGAAGGGGGTCTTAAAAAATGATAAATTATCATATTTTCGTATGAGACTTGTATCTTGGCGGCAATAGTAATTGACCGTTTTTTAATATTTAAATTTTATTTTATAAAAATTAAATTTATTATTATATTTTTAAAAAAAATATTGCACAAAAGATTGCCAAAGACATGAAAAAATTACGGTCATTAAAACTGCTTCGAAGAAAATCAAACGATTTAAAAAATTAGCTGCTATTTCTTATGTGAGGACGTGACACAGGTCACAAGTCACGATCTAGTTTATCGCTCCGAAAAGTCGCAGCGATTTGTCACTGCGACTTTTTCGGAGCAGTCGCTGTTTGTCGCAGCGACACGAAAATTTCGTCGCAACCCATCTCTAGTATTTTCCATTTATTATTGTTTTAAGCTTATTTGAAAAATTATTTTTAACTTTTTAGTTTGATATGCTCTAAAAGCGTGTTTTTTAGTTTTTTTAAACTATATTTATTTTTTCAAATAACTTGACAACCAGGTGACATAGGCGCCATGTTTGTTAATGTTTTAGAAACGTCAGTCCAGTACAATTTTAACAATGAACCACCTTACACCACAACAACGTGCTGAAATTGTAAAAATTTATTTTCAAAAAAACTTCTCT